ATGCCATCAAGTTTGTTTTAGTCCACATCATCAATTTTTTTCATGTGGCATTCTATTGATTAGCATGTAATAACACGTCAACAATGGAAAAGAAAAAAAACAAAATATTTAATAGATTATAGTGCCACTCTATCACTTAACTGACGGAAGGACCAAAAAGGGGCCGAATTTTGAAATTTAGGGACTAAAAAGGGGATTTTTTCGGTATAGGGATCAAAAAGGGGCTTTTTCCTATAGTAGAGGGACCAAAAAGGGTATTTAACCATTAGGATTCAAAGGCTCAATCTTGAAGCCCAGATTAAACTATTTAAAGGAGCATCCAAATTTAGGCTAGTATTACAATTTAAGGAAAAACGCACAATTTGTACCTCACTGAGACTCTGATTCAGACATTCTTTACCTTGAAAAGAACCATCTTCACAAGAATCATAACCGTTTCTCTTTTCTACAGATTCAATCAAGTTCTCTTCTTTTTCACTCTTATTCTCTCCACTAACAAACCTGTCTTTGTTGCTTTCACTATCTCTTGAAACATAGTTTCCAAAATCATGGTAAGTATCCAATACAAAGGATTCATGCTTGTAACTTGAAAACCAGTTCCTGATGTCCGGAGGCTCTGATATTAAAACCAAAATCATAAACTTTTACATAATCAGATGGAATTTCCATCACATTGTTTGATTGCCAATTAACCCTAACACAAAATCAAGATAATTTGAGTAAAACCAAATACTGACCAGAAGGGATGGAGCTTGAATCACCCGAAATCTACAACACGAAAAACAATATTAGGTCAACAACCAGAGTAAGAATACTGAAAGCGATCACTATAATAACCAAAATTATATATATTTATTTTCCTTCGTTTTCTTGAAAACCAAACAAGAAATAAGATCAATACACACATGAGAATCAAAATTATCCATGAAATCTCTGGTTCTTTCTCCAAGCCGAAATCAGGGTAAACCAAGAACTTCATTTTTTTTTTCCAATCTACAAATTAAAAAAATTGTTTTTGATCTCCCTGTTAACAACCTATTTATAGGGGGTAAGAGGATGCCCTAAACCCATGTCTGATCCTACCCTCACAACCCTCCGATTTGCCTTCTTTGATCTCCATCGTCGGGTCGCACAAGCCAAAATTGACCTCCGACCATGGCTTTTTTCTGTGGGTAAAGGAAAGTACAAGGAGCGAGATCAAACAAGAGCATTGAGTCTTCTTCTGGTGGTCTTCTGGACGGCCAAACGTCTAATTAAATTTTGGGTTTTTGAGTTCGAATGGGTTCGAATGAATTTTGGAGATTTGTGGAAGGAAGCTCAAAAATTAGAGAGGGTAAATGGGGAATCCATGGAGGGAAGTAAAAATGAAAGACAACGGCGAAGGAAAATAAAGTGCCTAAGGAATAGGGAATTATACACACGAAACAGTAATCCGTCTGTATAGATATATTTATACAAATGGATAATGATTATTGTTGGAATACATATACTCTATACAGATGGATAAATATAAACCGTTGGTATAAATCAACCTTATATTAATGGATATATTTTTCCGTTGGTATAGATTAATGTATACTAACTATTTAGGTTTTCTGTTGGTATACATAGGTCTATACAGACAAACTTCCATCTGTTGGTATAGAGCTCCGTTAGTATAGGTCATTTTGTTTGTAGTGTCACCTACTATAATTATTTCCTAATTCATGGAAGAATCAATTAGGAAATAATTACAGTTTCTTTTAATAATTTAAATAAAAAAGAAGGTCGAGGAAGAAGAACCAAAAAATTATTTTAATTTATTTTAATTCCATTTAATAAAATTAAATAAAATTTAATTAATTCTTCCATGAATTAGGAAATAATTATAATATGTGAGATTTGATTTAATAAAATTAAATGAGAGCTAATTTATTTTTTTATAAATTAAGAGTTGCTTATGGTAGGTGGGACTAATTAAATGGGAAAATATATTAATTGTTTTATTTTTTAAATATAAATAAAGTAAAATCAAGAATTAAAGTAGTTTTTAAAT